CAGATTTCACATAGATTTCGAAACAAAATTTCCACAAACTTTTTGTCATCTCATAGTTGTTTATCACTTTATCTAGAAAAATGCAATCTTGTTATCCAACATTCCTATCAATTTCAAAGTCAAAACAGTATTCGGTTTGACCTCAAAAGTCAAAATACGCCATTTTAATGAATCTTTATTTGGTTTTCTTCAGGAAAGATAGTCGATACACAGAGAAAGATGCTGCAATAGTTGTAAGGCAAATGCTTAAAGTTGCAGCACAATGTCACTTACATGGATTAGTGCATCGTGACATGAAACCAGAGGTATTTAAGGAATTAAAAAAGTTAACATTTTTATATTTTCAAATTTCATTAGCATATGTTCATAGGATGATATAAATCTCATCTTTTCTTTTTTGTTGTTTATTTGTAGAATTTTCTTTTTAAGTCTCCCAAAGAGGATTCACACTTGAAGGCTACAGATTTCGGGTTGTCAGACTTCATAAGACCAGGTATGTTCAATATTACAATTTTGCCCTTATGCTTCCTATCTATGTCTTTTGATTATTTTTTAAATATCTTGAATGCTTCCGATAATATCGAATAAAAGCTATCGATTGAGGGTATCACATGAAGATTGTGATTACTGATGAATTGAAGTTAAAGTTACCTATTTACCCTTTTATCAACAGATGACATTGATTTAGTTCTTTCCATTGTGTTCTTAGTGCATTAAGTGAAACTACATTTGAATTCTTTTGTTGTGATTCTAAATTTCTAATTCTATAGTCTCATATTTACATAAATTATTAATTAATGCAGGAAAGAAGTTTACAGATATTGTTGGTAGTGCTTATTATGTTGCTCCTGAAGTATTGAAGCGAAAATCAGGACCCGAATCCGATGTATGGAGTATAGGGGTAATTACGTACATTTTACTTTGTGGGCGTAGACCCTTTTGGGATAAAACTGAAGATGGAATTTTTAAAGAGGTATTTACTTGAAACATTACATTGGTATATGAAAAAGATCATTTCTTTTTGTAACTTAGGTGTTGTTTCTTACTTTCTTTCATACTTAGTGGAGACATGACTTAATCTGGTAAGCTATATATGTGTATTTCTTTTCTACTTAATGCACTAAGAACACGTTAATAGAGAAAGTCATGGAAATGAGGCTTTTCTCATTAAGTCCTACCTTTATGAAAAATCACATCATTTACCTAGACAATATATGGATAAAGTGCTATATACATAAGGTTTGTTTCTTTTCTAGACTAAACGACCATTTTACCCTTACATTCCTACAAAGTACAAACATTTATCATAATATTTTGTCAAGTTTAACATGAGAGAAGTTGAGGGGAAAAACAAAAGGCAAATAGGTAAAGACTAAAGAGCTAGTATCTTACTTCATTAAGCCAAGTTTTTTTTGGCTTAACTCATTAAGTCATTATGTCCAGATTAAGTAAAAAAGAATCAACCATATATAGTTGTCCAAAGTTAGTGCTTAACCCATTAAGCCCATTAAGTAAAAAAGAAACAACCCCTTGATGATTCATAATTCTATAATGTCAATTTGAATTAATAGGTATTAAGAAACAAACCCGATTTTCGGCGAAAACCATGGCCCACCATAAGCACAAGTGCAAGGGATTTTGTAAAAAAGTTGCTTGTTAAAGATCCTCGTGCAAGACTAACAGCTGCTCAAGCACTATGTATGTTTCTTCTTCTTCTTCTTTTTACTTCTTTTTTGTTATTGTCACTATCATTTTTGTAACACCCCAAGCCCTGAAGCCCAAAGTTACACACTAGCCCAAAGATTATTAGGCTAGTGTATTTATAACTTTGGGCTTTTGGGGTGTTACACAGTACACTAGCCCAAAAGTTATTGGGCTAGTGTATATAACTATGGGCTTGGGGTGTTACAGTATTTTAAGACAATATTTTATAATTTGTTTTTTTGACTTTTATAGCTCACCCATGGGTTCGAGAAGGTGGAAATGCTTCAGGGATTCCTCTTGACATTTCGGTTCTATCAAACATGCGTCAATTCGTGAGATACAGTCGCCTAAAACAATTTGCATTACGGGTAAAAATATATTTTGTTTTTTGTTTTTCCTTTTCCTTGTATTGGAAATTTGGAATCATGCTTCTTATTTTTGTTAATTATAGCATTTGCTACTTTCATTCGAATAGAAAGCAATTTTCAATGTTGTAATTGGATTGGTTTTTGAAAGTATAATGTTCTAATAAGAAAAAAAAAAGTTGAAAGTACAATCGTATAATTGGTTAGATTTGTTAAAATACAATGTTGTAATAGAAAGAAATGAAAGTAAGATGATATATGAATAAATGAAAGTACGTTGCTATTTCATGCATTTAGCCCTATTGTGAAAAGTGTTTCTAAAAAATTACAAGATTGTGTGACACAGGCATTGGCTAGCACTCTTGATGAAGAGGAGCTATCGGATCTCAAAGATCAATTCCATGCAATCGATATAGACAAAAGTGGTGCGATTAGTCTTGAAGAAATGAGACAGGTAGGTTGACTTTTCAAATTTTTTGGTCAATTGTTAAATGAGCGAATAATGAATAATTACATTTTGTATTTTATAATATTATTTTATTGAATTTGATTTTAAATTTTTTGGTTATAGGCCCTTGCGAAAGACCTCCCATGGAAGATGAAAGAATCACGTGTTTTGGAGATTCTAGAAGCCGTACGTATTTTTGTACCGGCAACTAAATGTGAATGTCAGTCTAGTGGGACCTGGTCCCATTAGACTGACATTCTCAGAGAAAGTTCTCCGACTTTCTCTATTAATATGTTTTTTTTAAAAAACATATTAATGTTTTTTTGTGTGTTGCAGATTGATAGCAACACGGATGGGCTTGTGGATTTCACAGAGTTTGTAGCAGCCACTCTCCATGTTCATCAATTGGAGGAACATAACTCTGAAAAATGGCAACAATTATCACAAGCAGCTTTTGAAAAATTTGATGTGGATAAAGATGGGTACATAACTCCAGAAGAACTCAAAATGGTATGCCATTTTTTATTTTTTATTTTTTATTTTTCATGTTTTACATTTACACACATCACAATGTTTTTATTGCACTTAGAAACCATTTTTCTCATAAAAATTTTTCTTGTTATTGACCTTTCAGCCTGTTTTTCCTCATTATGTGTTCTCTGAATAAATTATATTTAAAAAATGTTCGAGAATATTACGGCTTATAGCATTCTACTTTAATTTTTTCTTATCAAGACATTGCACTTTGAAGACTCAACATAACTACAACACTGTATTTTCAATAAAAAAACTGATTAGAATATTATACTTTAAAATATCTACATAAACATATGGGTTAATCTCAAAAAAAGACCTTATATTTTGTTTTTTTCCGGATTAAACCTAAAATCTATTTTTTTTTTGCCTGAAAAGACCTTGTATTTTTTCATTTTTTCCGATCTGGCCCTTTTTCATTTTTTGCCAAAAAAAAAAGACTAAATGTGAGGGTTTTTTCGAGAAAAACTAAAAAAGTTGAGGGTTTATTTGGAAGCAGTTAGAAGGTTTAGGGTTTTTTTTCGGAAAAAATACAAGGTCTTTTTTAGGCAAAAAATAAACTTGAGGTTTAATTGGAAAAAAACACAAAATATAAAGTTTTTTTTTAGATTAACCGTAAACATATCATTGAAATTTGCTTTTTATTTGTATGACATTGCTATAATTAAATTTTTTTTGTTTGTTATGATGGGAAGAAAATAGAACTATGATGCTATAAATTATAATAAAGAAATCAATAAAAGTATGTTGCTATTCTGGCTACTTATGCCACTTGGTTATATTTATTACAGTATACAGGGTTACGAGGTTCAATAGATCCAATTCTAGAGGAAGCAGATATCGATAAAGACGGGAAAATTAGCTTGTCAGAGTTTCGTAGACTTTTAAGAACCGCAAGTTTGAGTTCAAATAATATCCCAAGCCCGGCCCCACATAGAGGCTTGCGTAAAATCTAGATTTTGAAACAACAAAATATATATTTCACGTGTGAATTAATATTTTAATTTTCTTATCGAGTGAAGAAAATTACTAAATTAGCCTCTCAAAGTTACCATTTTCATAGACCTTGGCTCGATTTTCTTTGTTACCATTTGAAGAATGTATATGAAGGGCATCGGGTGAAGGTTGTATGAGGATTATGTATGCAAGGATGTAGTTAATGTTAGTTTTAAGTTGTTTATGTATGTGTTTATAATGTCTTTTGTATGTCTTTTTAGGTCCATCTAGTAGAGGCCCTATGTGGTGTAAGTGAATATTTCTTTATAAGCACTACTATATCTTGGTGTTTTATTTTGTGTTTTTGCATGGTGTGGGTGCATTTGATCATACAAGAGCGGTTTTGTCATTGCATAATGGTTTTGTATGCTTGTAGATATGTTGAGAGTTTAAGTGTTCGAGTTTCAATAGTTGAAGTGTAGGAGTTTCGAGTTTCAATTTGGACGTAGATTGGATTTTTTGAGTAATGCTTTTGTGGAAATTATCAATGATGCAACAAGTTGGTTAGGGGTGACAAATTGGGCGGTTATGTTGTGTTTTTAGTTGACACAACAATTTTTAGTTAATAAATCACTAATGTATGGTTTTTATAAATTTGTCATTGTTATATTTATAAACGGCTGAATTTTATTGAAAACAAACTAACAAATAGCTAACAAATAATTACAAGGGAATAAAGAAAATAGGATTTAAAAGTCACGAAACATGACTATCGCTACATTGCCTATTTCATTTTACAAACCAATTATAGGAACAATCGATCAGCCTATCAATCAATAAATTTCATCCTTTTTCGCTAAAAGAAAATTGTTTCGGAAGTCCCACAATATCCACCACATGGTCATGACTATCGATTCTAAGAAAGTAATTAACTTCTAGTAAGTTAAAACAAAAATTTAAACTTAATTAGACATTAATAAATCGATATCATATTAATTTATAACAAACATTACATTTAATATTTCATTGATGCAAATGAATAGTAAAAGTGTAAAACACCAAATTTGGTATTTTACTATTCATCAACACCAACACCAACACCAAAATAGTGATTGATAGGAAAGGACTCTTTTGCCCTTCCCAAATGATGAAAACATCAACTCTTACACCTCAGTCCTACCAATCTATTATATACAAAGGGTATTAGAGTCCTTTCTAACATAGTACAATGGTCAAAAAGGCAGACAACAAAACTTTCTCTTCAGCCGCCTCTCTTCAAACATTTTCAATATTTTTTCTTCGTTAAGTGTTGTCTGGATAAACAAACAGATAAACAGTGTTAAGAAAAAATTAAGAAAATGATGGTGCACTTGTGGAAATGTAAAAGAAAATTTATAAATAGTTACAACTTAATAGGGAAAATCTCATTTCACTGAATTTCACTATTATGTCGTGCTTTCTGTATTAAGTAAAAGTAAAAAAAGAAACATTCATAATTCATTCATATATAGCTTACCAGATTAAGTCATATGACCCCATTAAGTCTATAAATCATTAGATTCCCCATTATTTGAAGAGCTATCTTGAAAGCCTTGAGAAGAAGTGTATCTACTACTTGAACAAACCCCATCTCTCCTCTCTAGTTGTTTGCCCTTTTTTTCTCCCTACCCACAAATCAAATTTGTACTTTTAGTTTTTTTCTTATTAAGACATTTTACTTTGAAACTGTTTATCAATACAAGTAAATTTCCATTTCTTGTATTGTGAACATATAATTCTTTCTTTTTCATTACGACTACATGCAAAAATAATAATAATAATGTATTTTAATTTTATGTGTTTATTAAAGCCTCCTACTTTTAATTCCTTTTATACAACATTGAACTTTTTCTTTTGTCTTATCAAGGCATTGTACTTCGAATAATCTACCCAATTATTGCATTGTCCTTTTAATTTTTTTCTTATTACAACATTTTACTTTGAAAAATCTACCCACTTACAACAATAAAGTAGGATGCTATAATACACAAATAAACAAAAGTACGTTGTTTTTTCTCATTTAACTTTTCCCAAAAGGCAAAAACAACCGTTTTACCTGTGACCCCGGGGTTTTAAGCTCTAAATCTGTCACCACATCACTAGAATTATTCCCTTTATCATCATTACTATTACTACCCCTAAATTGTTCCGAAGACTTACTCCCACATTCTTGTTTGCTTGATCTTGGCACATATATAGGAAGCGTTTGATTATTAATATGGTAATTAGCTGGATTTGGATTTGGATTTGGATTTGGATTTGGATATGGGATGATGGAAGCGCCAGGTGGATTATGATTAGCATAAAAAGGGAACGGGTGGATTGGAAGTGGGCCCGCAGGGACAGGTAAAGCAACCGGATATGAAAATGGTGGTGGCATAACAACTGAAGAAGGATCGATACCTCCCCATGGATATATAACTCCAACCCTTTGTTGATACTGTGTGTTGAGATTTTCTATATCGGATTTTAGCGATGATTTCTCTTCTCTCAGTTCGTTTTTTTCCTGTGTCAGCTGTTCTAAAAAAAATTAGACCAGAACAGGGCATGACATGACAGAACAGGTTGTACTGTTGTACATGATTGGATTGGGGCTGAGACTGAGACTGATGTGAATAAGACAAAAACAAGACAACACAGGACATGACATGATATGACATGACAAAACAGGTTGTACTGTAGTACATGATTGGATTGGGGCTAAGACTAATGTGAAAAAGACAAAAACAGGACAAAACATGACATGACATGACAAAAAAGGTTGTATATGATTGGACTTGGCTGGGCTGAGACTGATGTGAATAAGACAAAAACACAGTACATCGTGTTATGAAGTGTTACCTCACATGATTCTTCAGATAATGCAGAGCATTCTGCTTTAAGTCTGTTAACTTCATTTGTCAAATCTTTAAGGATTTGTATGGTGTCAATGATAATACTGGATTTGTCATTTTTGGGTCTGTCTGGATCTGCATATTGGATTAATAAATGAGAATTTCAACAAACTATATCAGTCATGATTTGAAATGACTTAATGGAGAAAGAACAACTTAATAGATTTAAAGATTTGTTTATGTTATGTTATGTTATTACCGAGTAGATGTCCCAACTCAATGAATTGTTCATTCAGTTTATCCCTCCTTAATTTTTCGCGATCAGCTTTTTGAACTTTTCTAGCATCATTTGTATCTTTCACTTCCACTTCAGTTGTCTCTCTGAATGGAATCCAAAACAAGTTAGACAATGGCAGATGCAAAACATACTTCTATGAATAATTGAATATGCATTGTGCATTAATAGAGGAAGGCAAAAGGGATTTAACACGTTTCGGATTCACCATCGCATCAAATTCGAACGCGAATTGGGAATTTTAGTGGCATATTTGGAAGCATAACATTGTGTAGAGATCAAGCGTAAGAAATGTAGATATTACCAGGAATCAAAAGGGAGTATTTAACCATTATACTAACTATATCAGCACACAGAAATTTCAAATTCATTCCGAAATTAGTGAAGTGGGTACGAAAAGGGAAATACAAACAAAATCGAACAAACCTTTGGTCGGAATGGGAGTTGGAAATATGTTGATATTGTTGTTGATGCAATTCGAGCTTCGCGTTCCATTGATCCATTGATTTAGGCACGTAACGAGCAAAGTTGAGGAGTATGAGAAAGTTGTTGATGTTAGGGTTTGGTTTTTTTATGATTGATTTTGGGGGATTTGATTGAAAAACTGGGTTTAGTTGCAATGGGCATAGAGACGATGAAGACGAATGTTAGAGGGAAGTGTGTCATTAGGCAATAAGGCAAATAAGAGGCATTATTGTTATCAAGAAATCGACATGTACAATGTACCCTCCACGATTCCCTCCATCATATGATATATGATTCCATTGCCGTTGGTGCTTCCTTTTCTTCTTTATATACTTTTCTTAAATTCTTATCATAAACAATAATAAACAATAACTATAATATTAGGTGCATTTTAAGATTGCTTGAAGTAGTTTTTTAAAGAATGGATAATGATTTGACTTGGTAATAAATTATGTTATATATTTGGTCATTGTTTTTCTTATTATATGATCTAAGGGGTGTTTGAGATTGTTTGTTGAACTTTAAAAATATTTATTGATTTATAATGGTAGTGAAATAAATTTTAAAAAATATATATGAATTAGCTTTTACGGTGATAAAAACCTATAAGTTAACAAGTTTAAAATTGGTTGGTTTAAAATCTCATTTTTAAGCTATTATATTAAAAAAAAAGGGGGGGGGGGGTGTATAATTTCATATTTGCCCATCAAACTTATTGTGTTTGTTTTAAAAGGTCACTAAACTATTTTTTTTTTGCAAATTAAGGAAACTAACTCTCATATGACCGTTTAATTAAGTCCTTTTACCGATTGTAAAAGGTTAAAAGCATTTTTTGGTGACTAGGCCTCCACAATGGACTAGTACTGTTGCAATCTTGGTCCTTAAGATTGCCAAGTCATCCTCGATGGTACCCTTTATAAATTGAAGGGATACCCTAAATTTGTGTTCCCCACCCACTTTGTTACCTTAATCCGTAACCTTTGCTTAATATAACCAATTTCGATCTTTTCCCCCTTATAAATCAAGAAGATGGCCTCAGAACAAAGCTTATGCTATGGTGGTTTCAGAGTATCGGACCTAAACGTACCAACTGAATACGAGCATAACGCCATGGAAACCCAAGTGCAGATTGAGGAAATGAGAGATGACATGCGACAACAGCTAGGCGAGTTTAGGGAGGAAATATGGTACTTGAAAAAGATCGTGACCGTGATGGCTATTGTTGGAGTTGCAGTGATGTCATTGATCGGGGTTCGTGGTTGGGTCGAAAGCTCTGGGTGGGAATTTTAGTGGGTGTAGTTATGTCGGTAGGTAGCACGATGACAATTTTATCGTTTTTTGGGTTTTTGGGGTTGTCGAAGGTTGTTTGTTTTTACCTAACTTCGCCATCTGCTAGTATAATATGTATGTATTAGGGTATGATGTTTGTTGGTGATTATGTGTATTAGGGTATGATGTTTGTGATGGGTTTGAGCCAAAAGAACATCCTATGTGCTCATGCAAACCCTAATTCTTGGATCTAGGTTTCTCTATTGTACATGCAATTCATCAAAGACTTATAAACCCTAGATCTAGCATACATGATTCGAAATTGACATAAGAAAACAGATCTAGATGATTACCTCTTGAACAATAGCTTGAATATTCTTGTCTTGGAGCTTAGAGTCACAAATGTCACTCCTCTAATGGCTTACAAACACCACACAAGCAAGAGGATGATATTGGAGAGAGGGGAGAGGCAGGATTTCGGCTATGAAGACTCTTAGGGTTCAAGTGGCCAAAAATTGGAAGCCTTGGGGTCTTATTTATACTGGTGCTGCTAGGGTTTCAGCTTAAACCCTAATGGACAGCTTAGGCCTTAAGCAATCCAAGGAAGCTTCTGGAATAGGGCCCTTATGGCCGAAATTATGGATGGACACATCCTAATTTCGTCCATGCCTAGTCCAAGAGGCTCCTCAGCCCAATACTCAACTATCACACATTTGACAGTTTAAGTCCCTGATATTAAATCAATGTCTTTTAGCCACATAATTAATTCTTGTCTAATATTAACTTAATTATATGATTTATCTTTTAATATATTATTCATATAATATATTAATAAACCATATTAACCTCTCTATTTATAAATCACCCTGTCAAGTTGCTTTGGTGAAGGCAACCCAAAAGGACCATGCACAACCGGGTTAAGTACTTACCAAATATAGTTACGGGCTTAGACACTAATCCAACAGTTTGTTGGTTATTTTGATCAGTGGTGCATGTTGACGATGTTAGGGTTTTTAGAACTTTTTGGGGGGTTTTTGGTAACACGATAACCTCATTTGTAATGTATGGCCACTTCGATGAATGAAATGAAATCTTGCTCCTATTAACCAATGTTTTCATATGATGTCATTTAATTTTTAGTAATGTTCTCGTACCAACTGTTATGTTAACTGTTGATTGTACCATTGTTTGTACAGTCAAAGTACATTTGTTGTATCTTCAATTCATTTATGGCAAGCCTTATGTTTGGACATACATCAAAATGTCCCCGTCCACTTCCTTTCTTTCTCAAACTACACATCCTCTGCATCACATATAGTCTAATATCCTCCAGCATAGTAATAATTGGCTTCTTCCTAGCATCCAAGATAACATTGTTAAAGCTTTCATACAACCCATTCTTAACAGCATCACACCCCCTTCTTATTTGAAAAAACGCTCTTGACCATGACTTTGGATTCCTTCCCATAAGATGCACATAAGCAGGAGTGCTAATCATTTGAATCTCTTTCATTTCAAAATTGAAAAGAGGTTTAGTTGATGCCTTACAAGCCTTCAAAAATAATTTCTCATATTGAGCCCCAGGGAATTTCTTCTTGAAGTTGGATAGAACATGCCTGGCACATTGCCTATGTTCTATCTCTTGGAATAAATCCTTCGTCGCTTCAATTATCCTCTGCATTTACATCATAAGAACATTTAGAACTAGATTACAATTGAAATACATAAACCATGGCATAATGAACACAAACATACCTTATGTTGATCTGACATCAATGTCTTACCAAACCCACCTTCAAGATGCATATCTTCTTGCAAGTTTTCTAGGAACCATTTCTAGTTGTCTTTATTTTCAACACAAACCACAGCCAAAGCTATTGGGTATATATGATTGTTTCCATCCCTACCAATAGCACATAATAACTGACCAATACACATTCCTTTTAAAAAAACACCCATCTAAATTTATAATCCCTCTACAGCCACTTCTCTAACCCTCCTTT